CCTAAAATATTTATTGTCTGGCTCTTTATATGTTGTCTTTCTTAATTCCACAATACTTGAGAAATGTCTTCAAGTATATTTACCTCTCTGCTGGCTGTAAGTGTAAATTTTGTGTTCCTATCACATAGTCTAACCCTGTGTATAAAAACAAGCTTATAAAATGATTTGGTATTAAGTTGTTGCTGTTTCTTCAAAGTCCTTCAAAATGTGAAAACATTCTGCTTCAGCATAACCAATATTTCATCATCTTCATTGAAGTTAAATCTATTTGGGACTGCATTATTTAAGAAATTAAGATAATTAAGTCATCAGTGTTAAGATTAGAATCGTGAATCATGTTCTATTTTTGGGGAAATAAGCTTAGAAACAACTTCATTGTGTAAACGTGATTGCTTGGAGACAGTTTAAGTATCAATGTATAAACAATCGGTATACCAATTATAAAATTTAGTCATCAAAAGCACTGTCCCAAGCAAGTTTTCTTAATAATGTGTTTGCTTACAGATGGTTTATGTGTTCCCTGGTTTATGGTGGATTTCAGTCTGCGATATAGAAGTAAAAATACCTTATATGTTAGATGATATTTTATAATATGTCATACTTAAGCTTTTAATACATCTGCCCCTAATTAGCCTCAAACACTAATTATTTTAGATCTATTACTCTGAAATAATTTTGAAAAGATTATTTTTAAAGAGGAAAATAGACATAAGTAGAGGAGAGGTTTTTTTGTTTTGTTTTTTAGGGAACCAATTAACTTTGTTAATGTTATATAAAATTTACTCATGCATAATCCTCGATTAATAAAATCAGGTAGAAAGATAGGACTGTCTCTCTCGTTACTTAAGGATTTCAGTGTTGATGCTATCAAATAACTCAACTGAACCTGACTAATGGCAGTATCTTTGGGGCAGCTGGTTTTGGTCACCTGAACATTGAGATACTCTTCCTATTCTTTTCTTATTCTTATCCTTGACTATTCCACCCTGATCCCCATATGTTTTAATGTGCTCGTTTGTTACCATATTTCAGTATTTTTGAAGCATCCATTGTGGAGGTAAGTATACAAAAACAGTATTAAAGATTGTCTCCTTTTTCATCAGGCATATTTACACCCATAATTTTTTGTTCAATTGTCCCTTCTGTCTTCTTTTGGATTAGTCAAATGTATTCTGTTATCCTCTCTTATCTCCCCTATTTTCTTAATAGCTAAACTTCTTTGTTTTACTTTAAGAAAAATACTTGCTCTAGGTTTATAGTCTTATAGTCTATATATAGACTTAGTTTATAGTCTACCTTGGAATTATACTATGCTACTTTATATATATAGTAAGATTCTTAAAATTTACTTTCCTTTGTGTTATATTTGTTCTATAGTTTATCTCTGCATGTGTATAAACCCCACAATATATTATTACTTTTGCTTTAGATGGTCAATTATCTTTTATTTTTAGATGTTTATTTATTTATTTTGAGAGATAGCACAACCAGGGGAGGGTCAGAGGGAGAGAGAATCCCAAGCAGGCTCCATGCTGCCAGCACAGAGCCTGACGTGGGGCTCGATCTCATGAACTTTGAGATGGTTACCTGAGCCGAAATCAAGAGTCAGACATTTAACCCACTGAGCCACCCAGGTGTCCCACGATGGTCAATCGTCTTTTCAAGAAATTAATGAGAAAAGGAGGATTTTATATTTAGCCACATAGCCACATTTCCAACATTCTTCATTTCTTTGTATTTGATACACATTCCCCTCTGGTTTAAGAACTTTGACATTTCTTGTAGTGGAGATTTACTGATGATAATTTCCTTCAGCTTTTGTTTATCTGATACAGTCCTTTATTTGCCTGCAGTTTTTTTTTTTTTTTTAATTTTTTTTTGTTAACATTTATTTATTTTTGAGACAGAGTAGAGTAATGAACAGGGAGGGCAGAGAGAGAGGAGACACAGAACTGGAACAGGCTCCAGGCTCTGAGCTGTCAGAGCCTTAATTTGGGCTCGAATCTCCACGACCAGTGGAGATCATGACCTGAGCTGAAGTCGGACGCTTAACCGACCAAGCCACCCATTGCCTGCAGTTTTTAAGGCTATGCTATTCTAGCTTCACAATTGTTTTTTTGCAGTACTTTTGCTCTGATATCACCTGGCTTATATTGTTTTGAATGAGAAGCCAGTAGTGATTCTTTTGTTTATTTGTAATGTGTCTTTATATTCTCTGACTTCTCTTTAAGATTTTATCTTTATTGCTGGTTTCCAATAACTTGATGTACTTGGTATAATTTTTTTCCCCATTATATTTGAGATTTGTTGAACCTTTTAGATCTGTGGTTTCATTGATTTTTATCAAATTTGTGTATATTTTTGTCTGTCTCCTTAAGCTTTTTTCTTGATCTCCAATTAGACTTATTTTAAATCTTTTTATATGGTTATACAGATTCCCTTAGTCATTTTTATTCAGTCTTTTTTGTTTCTGTGCTTCAGTTTGAATAGTTGCTCTGTCTTCAAGTTTACTGATTTTTCACTGCTGCAGTTATATTTATAATACCTGGTCTGCTAATTTTATCATTTCTATTATTTCTGGGCCTAAGAATATTGAATCTTTTTAAACTTAAATATTTCTGTCTGTGGATCAAGTTGGGGTTTTTTTCTTCTTTTTTTTTTTTTTTTTTTTTTTTTTTTTTTTTTTTTTTTTTGAACTCTCTAAACTTTATAGAAAGTTTGCAGGAGTAGTCACAAATAATTTTGTTTTTCTTTAAAGCATTTGAGATTAATTTGCTGCTGTATGCTCCATTACCCTGAATGCTTTATAATGTGTATTTCTACCAAAAAATACATTCTGGTCACATAGCCATAGTGCAAACCATCAAATTAAAAAAAGAACATTATTATTACCATATAAGTTTTATCACTTGTCCCTGAACTGTCTTTTATGACAGAATGATCTGGTCCATAATCATGTGTTATATTTATTTGTCATGTCTCTTAAGTCTTCTTCAATTGAAAACAGTTTCTCAGTCCTTCCTTTACTTTCATGACATTGACATTTTTGAACATTACAGGTCAGTTATTATGTAAAATATCTCTCAGTTTGGATTTTTCTGATATTTACTCATGCTTCGATTCAGATTTTTCATAGAAATAATGCTATGTTCTTCTCATTGCATCCTATCAAATGATACTTGATTTCAAATTGTCCCATTACTACTAACGTTAACTTTGATTATGATGGTGTCTGCCAAGCTTCTCCACTGTAAAATTACTGTTATCCCCATGAAGTTCATGTTACTTTGTGGATAGTTACATTGAGACTGTATATCTTGTTCCTTAACAAATATTTCATTTATTTATATTAATTTATATCTTCATCGGCTCATGAATTTCCGTGCTATTCAGTGGGTCAGCATTCATTTACCAACATTTGTGTTGATGTCTCCATTGTATCACTTTGGCCAGTAGGCTCTTTTAGCCTGGTATTTGTGTGCTTTTGGCAGTTTTATGTCTCTCTGAGCACTTTCTTGCAGTAAGATTTCCAGACTTATTTTGTACTTTGCCTTTCCCAGCCTTGGAATCTGCCATTTCTTTAAGACGCCCTGATGCCTTTTGGTGGAGAATTTGGAAACCAAGTTTTTAAAATTTAAAAGCCGGGCTCTGGGTGCCAGCTGTGCTTATTGCTATTGGGGTATGGCTGTTCTCAGGTTATCTCACAGAACAGAGCTCAGGAATACACACACACACACACACACACACACACACACACACACACACCCCACACCCCCCACACACCACACACATTTTTTATCTATATTTAGCTAAGTATATTGAAAATCTTGAAATTATACTGATAATTCCAATGTCAGTTCAATATAGCAGAATTTATTCTTATTTTCTTTATTTATATGTTTATAACTCCTCTATTAATAGTGAGAAGCCTGGCTACTATCATCCTTAATTATTTATTTAATCAGTCATTCCAAATAAAATTCCCCTGTATTACCTCTGCTGCTTTTCTTTCAGAACAATCATGTCCCTCACCCACTGACTCCCCAATGACATTTAACATTTTTGAATGTTAACATTTTTCTTTCTTAAATATGTAAAATATCATATATTGCATGAAAAACAGTGGGCCTTCTTTTTTATTGCACACTATCTACTTTCTCATGGTGCATAGTCCTCACATCACAAGAAGTCATGGGGTATTAAAAACAAAAAAACAAAACCCTGTTGTTCTGAGAACCACAACTGTTCCCTTCAGATACTAGTATGAAGTTTGTTCTATAATGCCAAATGTCCTTCTCAGCTATGGAAACTTTCTCTCAATGTGCTCATTTGAATCAACTGGTAAGAGCATGTTTGGCCCTGCATTTTCAGTGTCTAGATGGCCAAGTCAAGTGAGAGCAGAGAGCTTGAGAGTGGCATTTGTATAGGCAACACACAGGGACTGTAAGATAATATCATGGATTACATGACTTCCATTCAATTCTTAGGAATTATCATGGAGTCATAAGAAGAGTAGCCCTGAGGTTTTGTTTCTTGTCACAGAGTGCCATTGATCTAGTGGACTGTGTTCCAAAATGACATGTAGACCTACTCAGAACCAGTCTCTGGTTAGACCTGGGAATACTTGGATGGTATCTCTTTGTTGGTCTCCCAAATTAGACTGTTCTATCTTCAGTGCCTAGCACTGTGCCTGATACAGAGTAAAAAAAGTATTCATTGATGAATGAATGAAAGACAGATGAAGAAGAGGTTAAACTATTTAGCCACAGCTTTTCCTTTGTACTGATGTCTAGTTTCTGGGACAGAATGGCTTTAATATTTGAGGCATAAATAACACCCAATGTAAATAAGTATGCTATAAAGGAACCAGCTTAATTAAGAGCAGATTTTTATTTTTTCCCTTTTTCCTCTTTTACGTATTTATTTTCTCTTTCATTGAAAGACATATATATGGTTGCATTTTTATAAGGACACTGAACAGTTGTTCTCTTTTCATGCAGGGGCCTGAATTAATGAATAAATATGTTGGTGAATCTGAAAGGGCTGTTAGAGAGGTAAGATGATAATGTCTTTGTGTATGGTTTCATTTTGTTTTGGGTTACTGATTCTGAAATTTCCAAATCAAAATTCTAGTGGTGTATTTTTTCTTCAGGCAAATATTATTTTATTATTTAAAAATAAAATTTTGAGAGGCACCTGAGTGGCTCAGTGGTTAAGTGTCCAACTTCAGCTCAGGTTATGATCTCATGGTTCATGAGTTCGAGCCATGCTTCGGGCTGTGTGCTGACAACTCAGAGCCTGGAGCCTGCTTCAGGTTCTGTGTCTCCCTCTCTCTCTGCCCCTCCCCCACTTGTGCTCTGTCTCTCTCTCTCTCTGTAAAAAATAAATAAAAATGTTTTAAAAATTACAGTGTTGATAATCTACAATACTTTGTTTTTGTCTTTAAACATCATCATATTACCAGCCATTAGTTTTACCAAATAAAGATTGTAACAACTGCCAGAATTTCACTAAAAACGAAAAAAAATGTACGTCTGTACTTATAAGGAATGCTTGATCTCAGAATGAGATTTAAATCCTTTAAATTATGTAGTCCTTTAAATGAAATGAGCTTAGTATAAAAAAATTTCACTTTACTCTCATTTTAATTGTTTTACCTTTGCCTAGTGATTTAGACAGTGCATTCCCCCTCTTCTAAGATTTACAGTTAGTGCTTGATTGTTTTAATTTATTTTTCTTGAGAGACAGTAGGGGAGGGGCAGAGAGAATCCCAAGTAGGCTCCACACTGTTAGTGCAGAGCCTGACATGGGGCTTGATGTCACGAACTGTGAGATCATGACCTGAGCCAAAATCAAGAGTCATCTTAAACAACTGAGCCACCCAGGTGCCTCAAGCCAGCTCCTGATTGATAGGCTACTCATTCATATAGCGGAAGCTACACAACTGGTAAATTCATGCAAAATCAGGGCACTTGGACTTGGGTAACTACAGTAATTTGACCACAGGTTTTGGCTTGCTAAGCAGAGGTTAGTCTGCCTCACACAGACAGCCTGTATTCTTTCAGAAGCTAAGCAAGGACAAGAACACACAAACAGCAATGGAATGGATGGTCTCCAGGAATGGATTGGATGGTCTCCATTTGTGAATACCTGGGTGCCAACCCAAGAGTATTAGAAATTAGAATACTTCATTTTTCATCTGAGAAAAAAAATTTAAGTTACTTTTGTCCTATTTTTTTATTTCTTTAAAATGTAGACAATGGCAGTTGTAGGAAAAAAGGAAATGTTTATTAATAATGTTACGGTAACCGTTTTGGATTTTTATAATCATGATCCTTGTGACCAGAAAATGGGGGTCTAGGTTACAGGAAACACACCTTTGGATTTCTTTCTGCCTGTGCTGATTTTTTCTAGGCCATTTCCATATGTTGCCCGCCCCCCCGCCCCCCATGGCTGTCTGGCCAGTCTCTAACGTTGATAGTCTGATTGACTTCTGATCTAATCAGTCTATGCTCTTTCAAGTTTTTTTTTTTAATTTTTTAATTTTTAAAATTTACATCCACATTAGTTAGCATATAGTGAAACAATTGATTTCAGGGAGTAGATTCCTTAATGTCCCTTACCCATTTAGCCCATCCCCCCTCCCACAGCTCTGGCTCTTCCAAGTTTTGATCATTTTTCTTGTCCTGGCTTTACATCAATCATTACTTTCCCATACTGTCTTCACAGAAATGAGCAAGGAATGTGGCTTTGGGGTTTATGGGTATTTTATATGCTAAGCTATAACTGATTTTACATGTTTATGGCTTTTCTTTTAAACATGTGTTTATGATAGTTAATAATAGCTGTCATTTACTGAGCTCTTACTATGTTCCAGGCACTGTGCTAAATGCTTTGCATTCTTTTTTTTTTTAATTCAATTCTTAAAATAATTTTCTGAGGCAAGCATTTACCATTACCTCCACTTTATAGATGTGGAAATTGAAGTTTAGAGAAGTAAAGTTACCCGCTGAAGGTCATGATTGGGCTGGTTGACTTGTACATAATAGATTTAGTTCCTAACAGTTTTCAAACTAAAACCCAACTGCAGAGTTTCTGAAGTTTGCTAATCTTTAGTTAATGTGGTACTTTTTTCACCAGATCTTCCGAAAAGCGAGAGCAGTGGCTCCTTCCATTATTTTCTTTGATGAACTTGATGCCTTAGCAGTTGAAAGGGGCAGGTAAGAAATATTTAATAGGACTGCAATTAAATATCAGTGATTACATTGTAGAGGATATAGTATTTCCTATACAAATTTTATTTATCAATGTATTTGGCCTCCATAAAATAATTTTTAATTCATGTAAGTTTTTTCTTATATCCAACTATTTTATGTTCTCATTTTATAATACTTTCATATACGTTTTTTAGAAGTGTTTTTTAATGTTTATTTATTTTGAGAGAGAGAGACAATGAGCAGGTAAGGGGCAGAGAGTGAGGGAGACACAGAATCCAAAGCAGGCTCCAGGCTCCAAGCTGTCAGCCCAAAGCTAGACATGGGACTTGAACTCATGGACCACAAGATCATGACCTGAGCTGAAGTCTGGCGCTTAACCAACTGACCAGCCAGGTGCCCCCATATACCTTTTTTTTTAAAGTATTCATATCCATTTGGGGCATTTGAGTTAATTTTCATAGTTTATTATTTACAGATACCCCTGTTTACAGAGACCCCCCCCCCCC